ATTTTTTTTAGCACTGAGGATAGATAAGTTATCAAGTCTGTTTACGGGGTGAGGTCATTTTTTCGCCTTAATGTTTAAGTGGGGTGATAAATGTTTAGATACGCAAGCTCTGAGAATGACTTCCACGCTTAATGTTAACACGGCTGACTTGTTTAGCGTGAATGTAAAGTTTGTGTTATATAACGCTTTACAACCATACTGGAATAGCACTCTCTTGATAAATACTTGAAGTGTGTAACCCATCGTTACCACAGCCTATGGACCCGGGTTCAATCCCTGGACAGGATTAGCAATTCCTGGACTGGATTAGTCCTCAGACGAGACGTCTACAAAATTATATTGTAAAAAAAATATCCGAATTTACCCTGAACGACATTACTTATTTAAAATGCAATATCAACAAAACTCATAGGGCTTACGTATATAAATTAAAGGAACGCAATCCTCTGCTGAAAATAAGGTCTAGATCCCCTACCTTTCTGATAAAAAGTGCACAAATTATTGAGGTCGAGGAGAGTGCATCACTCCCTTGGCAGGGGACACTACCTTGGGAGACTTGTACCTGCGTCTCAACACTTCTGAGTATATCCACCACCTGCCTTACTAACATAAAGCTACTCGTACAAATGCTTCAACCTGTCCTCGGGCTAAGTTCGTTCAAGCGGCTGCCACCCCCCCCCCCCCTAAAGACGCATTCGTCTGTTTTAATGTACCGTGTCCTCAAATTATTTTTTCTCAAATTTTATATTATATATATTAGTATTTTAATAAATTTTGAATAATTTTAATTCTATTTTGTGTATGATTAGGCGCAGGTTAAGTTAGGTGTTTAGCTTATGTTTGCAATTATTTGTATCGCAGTGCGTGAGATGTGATTCGAACAGAAAACGCGAACGAAGCACTGATCGATCAAAGTTTGAAAATTAGTCGCTAGTCGTGCATAACAACCAGTCCTCACCAACAGCGGCCAAATGCTCGTTAATTCACTCGTCAAACTCCCTGTTTATAAATGAAAAACACTACATAAGGCTCTCAAGTGATGACGTGTTTGTGTACTGTCCTGAGTAGTGCTTCGTTCACGACCTCTGCTCGAATCGCACCTCCAAATCCTTCACCCACATACTGCAAATACCATTAATGGAATCTAACCCACTAACCAAGCCTAGGCCTCACTATGCAACACATTCTAGTAATATATATAATAATATTAACTTACGTTTGAGAAAATAGAAATTTTGAATACGCAGTACGTTAAAATTTGAGCGTCTGAGTCGGCTGCTGAACCTTGGACTCACTTTTCAATCCGCCTGAGGACAGGTTGAAAAGTGAGTTTTTCATTCATAAAAGATGAAGTTTTGAGGTACGATTTACGAACCTTTTTAAGGCTGAAATCGTTAAAAGATAAATGTTGACCGGTGTCGTTATCGGTTAATCAGTTTCAATCACCTAACTGCCTAATTAGTTGGAAGTTGCTCGCATGTGTACATCATTGTGCATCGGAATTGCAACATGGCGGCGGATTAGTGAGGGCGGGCCACACGTGGGTGATGCTAGAGGGCAGAAGAGGTCACCTTGGCTTGTCCCTTGCTCCCCCCCCCCCCCGTGGTCGTCACAGCCACTCACTCCGTCGCCCCCCCCCTCTCTCTCTCTCTCTCTCTTTCTCTTTCTCTTTCTCTCTCTAACCCCCTGATGTGTTTACACCCACTTGTAAATATTTAGATAAGTTGACTCCATTAGTACTCTCCAATTAACATTTAAATGTCCCAGTAAATGAGGGTGCCGGTAGTACAGTTGGGTTCATTCTCAACACACAATCGAGAATTTCGGGTTCGAATCCTGGGCGGAACAAATGGTTGGGCACATTTCCTTTCACCTAATGTTCCTGTTCACCTAGCAGCAAGTAGGTAGTCAGGAGTTAGTCACTAATTTTACCCTGGGGTTGGGGGTGGGGGGCACCTCGACAAAAAAGTTTAATGTGTAAGAATACACTGGCTTTCTGGCTTTCTGTCCTCCGTCACAGTAAATTAAAAAAAACAGAGAAATTGGAGTGCATACATACACTCCCACAGGGTGAGCCCAATCACTTGGGTTGCATGGTAGAGCGACAGTCTTGCTTCATGCAGGTTGGCGTTCAATCCCCGACCGTCCAATTAGTGGTTGGGCACCATTCCTTTCCCCCGTCCCATCCCAAACCCTTATCCTTATCCCTTCCAAGTGGTATATAGTCGTAATGGCTTGGTGCTTTCTCCTGATACTTCACTCCCTCCCACAGGTGAAACTTGGCAAGGATATTGACCAAGTTAGAAAGATTTTGATATGGTATCATAAAAGACTGATTAGCAAGGTAGATCGTGTATGGTATTGGAGGGAATATATTGAGTAGGATTAGGGCATGAGTATTTGGAAGGAAATAAGTCAAGTTGACTCTAGAGTCAAGTCAGAGTAGGAAACTATTGCAAATGGAGTGCACCAAGGATGGGTAGCATTAAGACTGCCTGCTTGTCTGTCTGTTCCTCCCATGCATGTGTGCTAACGATCATCTCTGACATCCACCATATCTTGCAACAGGAATGGCAAACTGGGGTATAATTATGTCTATTCTCGGGTAAAGGCCTCATGCCAAGACAAGATTCTAGTCCACGAACTACACGTTATTAACAGTGTATCTCAGTTTTGATCTCTTACTGAGTTAACTGTTTTTGCTGACTGTGGATGTCATTTTTAATGTTTGGTTTCCTGAGTATGTGGTGTGCCGCTATTTGGTTGTGATGTGGGGGGGGGGCCTAGTAAACTAGTAATTTGTTGATAATTTAATCATGTTTTGGATATTTTTGCACAGTACTTCAGTTACACTAAGTTGAACAAGACAAAAATCTTTTGGAAAATTGATGCATCAGATGGATAAAACGTATTAACAAAAACAGGGGGTTATGTACACAAGGTGTTGAACAATTTATTCAATCAAGACAGAACTCTTTTTAAGATTCAAATTAGATACATTTGGCTAAAATTATTTAGGAAAGCATTGGCAAATAGTCGTAGACAGATTGACCAGTCAGGAGGGATCTTGAAGCAAACACCTAGGTAAGATTTAAAAATAACAGGAACATGATAGGAAACCGGGTGTAAACTGGACCTGCCTCGCATTACACCGTAGGCCTACTATCACTTTTCTGCCTCTCATGGATCAGTTTTCTCAAACTTTGTAATAGCTAAACTTACTTCATTAACTACGATTGTCTTGTTAGTAATTTGTCTGTCATTATAACTATGTTGAACTGCTTGGGGCTCTTACATCACAGATAATTATTGAAGAAACTTCAGCATGGCAAGACATACACTAAGAGGTGGGATATCGGGTTCGTGGCAGGAATTGAGGGATCGGGCGTTGTTAGGTGGGTTAGTGGGAGAGATAGAGCAGGTGGGCTAGAGTAAGTGACTGGATGGGAGGGATTAGGGACCGGACAGGCAGAAGAGATTAGGGATCAAGTGAGTGGGTTGGGAGGATTGGGTGGATGGAGTTTTTGGGATCGGGTGGGCTTGAATATAAGATGGGTAGCAGGTGCATGACTGAAAGTAACAATGAAACATCCTATAGATATCTTCCAAATTGTTCAGTATCTTAAAGGTCTCAAAGTCGGCCTTTTCGTGTCTGGTTTACAATGTATGTAAATATTTGAGGGCCTGTGGCCCTCAAATATTTCTGGTATGAGAGTTAACTTAGTTCTGAGATGATTTTTATGATTATGTTGAACTTTCTTCGAAGCAGGTATCTTTTGAAGATAGTCTCCATGCTTGGATACAGTAGTTCAGATGGGGGTGCACCAGAAACATTTACAGTTGAGTAACCACTTTTTTTTCCTCAAGTCAAAGAATCATATAAATTTTTTGTACTGCATCTTCCACTTGTTGTGCAACTTCAGTGATTGGCAAGTTTGAACTCCTAGGTCCTTTTCTTCATTCGTCTCCTACATGGTTGTTTTAGGTGTGAAATTATTTTTAGAATGGTATATGCCATCTATGCTAGACATTTGTGATGGTTATGTATGTAAAGTTTGTCTCAATCTTAACCTCGTAACCGAGGAAATGCTTAATCTTCTAACTTGCTTAGAAATTTTTCAGACACTTCCTGGATCGACTTGAGAATGGTCCAGGACGGACCGAAACGTCGTCGTCCCTTCACCTTCTAGTGTGTGGTCTGATCAACATTCTTCAGCCACGTTATTGTGACTCATCGCCTGCACTTCCTTGATGTTTTGCTTATCGGTCTTTCCTTCTTTTGCAATGTTTATTAATTTGTTTTTCTCCATAACATCTGCATACTTTTCAGCGACTGCGTTCTCGGTGTTTACCGTGTTTGTTGCATTATCCTCTGGATTCAGTCCAGACAGAAATATTGGCATTGCAATCAATTATACTGTATATAATAAAAATAGATATGATCCATTAATTTTCCATATAGGATATAAACTGTGCATTGTGTAGGATTGCATGGAGGAAAATGTTTATTTAGATTGGGATTGATACAATAACCTGTTGCATGATAGGAAAAATTACATAACTCTTCTCTTAAGCAACATAAGTTTACAGTACAGTATAATGATTTAAAAAAATGCATCTGCATTAATATATGGAGACACACAATTGTAATTAGTGTAATTTTGGTATAATTTTCATACGTTGCATTCGTTATATACAGTGGAGCAGTTCAGTCTCCACAAGGCCTCAGTACAGTATAGAGTGTGATTCCCTCGATGTTGTCAGCATACTAGTCCAATCGTAAGGTTGCGCGTGGTGCGGAGCTGGCTACAATACAGTGAAACTTTACAACCGCCTAAAACCACACCTTGTTACCAACCTGCAAAAGTGGGTTGGTACACAACCCTGCAAAACACAGGAGTGATGATGCCAGATCCTTTGTTATCTACTTAATATTTATCCTGAAGATAAATATTTTCTCTAAAAATTATATATTCAACATTTAGGATAAATACAAAATGTTTAGCACCCAAACCTTTATTAATATGTAACACTGAAATTTACTCCGGATTGAAACTTGCACAGTCATAAAACAATAAAACAAAGTAAAGAATTATACAATCCTAACTGGGACACACAACTTTCCACCTTCTGACCAAAACAGTACGGTACATTGCTATGCATTTTTTTGCAACTGTACAGTATTATTTACAATACCACAAACACAACCAGATTCTTAAATACTATAACAAAGTTAAACTTTCTTACTTAAGAAAATCACCCCTGTCCCCAATTTGTGCTTGCACCAGTTAATTACAAACTCTAAAAATGGATTACACAAGATTTGTGTTGTAGGACTAATTTTACGGTAACAATTTTTTTAAGGTCAAATAATCAGTTCAAGAAATACAGTAGGAAACCCTACATAAATAATTCCTTAAAAAACAAAAATAAAAAAATTAAAAATTCAACAGTTTGGAGTACACTACAGAGCTAAGCCACAAACTGATGATAGGGAAGGTTAACCGTACAACTTGATATGATCCATTCCTCTATAAAATAAGGGCAGAGGTGATGTAACTAGAAAATCTTACCCTTTTTTTTTTTTTTTCGTTTTGTTTTTAAGATTTGCAGGTCATACCTCCTTGCTGCACCACCTTCAGCCCCAAAATGAAGCAAAGAAGAGACTGAAGCAATTATATATGTGCCTGTACACTACATACATGATCTATGGATTCTGTATTGGTGATAGTTTTACTATAAAAAATCTAATTAACTAATACAAATTCCTGGTAATGAAGTAATTTACTGATTCTATTATATTTACCATGGACACAAGCGAGTGATGTTAGAAACCTGAGACTGTGTAGCACGTATGCTTGCGCTGTGCCCTAATTCATGAAACCTCTTTATTGTATGACTTGGGTACTTGTACCTCTTAAATACAGTATGTGCTGTCTGTTCTTTCAAAATATGAACTATATTAAATCAAAAGTTTCTAAGAGTAGACCATAGATCATGTACTTGTAACAGGAAGAAGAGGGCATGAGGGATGAAGTACCTACTAGGCTGACGCTACCATTTTTATTCCCTCGCACATTTCGTGAGTACGGCAGGCAAGATGGCAAGCCTGTAAGAAATGCTTATCTCTATTCATTTACAATAACGGTGAAAAAGTTTGCTACCAAATAATGGTAAAGGAAATACATTTTATTAACTGATTTCATTTCAGAATATATATGCCAAATAATGGTAAGTACAGTAAATTAATTTAACTTATATTTATCTTCTGAAATGAAAACGACTAATTTCAATATACAGTATATATAAAATCACTTGAGGTGTTACTTTTACTCTGAATATAGTAAGGTTGCTTAACCTAATATATTCAACTTGCCTGTTGTCTAAAAAGCCTACCTCTATTTAGTTTTTCAAAAAAGTTAATGATTCTTCCAGTAATTACACAAATGAGAAATTTGCTTGTGAATCGTCAATAGAGAAAGAGGAAACTTGTGGTAATTAGGGAAGGATTGGGCGAGCGTCAGTGAAGGGATGACTTCCTGAGCTGGTCCGATGGGAATGTTGCTGAACAGAGTAAACCGCTTCACATCCATGGCTCTCCTACATAGGGCAAGGGCTGATGGGTCAACCAATTAAGAGAATTATACAGTGTAATACAATAACAGGAGTAGTATAAAGTGAAAGAAGCATTATATGGACTTATTTGTTAGAGAAGATAATAAATTATTCACAGGAAAATAGGCATTTCAATTCCATCATAAAATTTCTAGTACTAAACTATTTCCTTCTAACCTGATATGCATCAAGAGGGCTACAGATATTTCGGTAAAAAGACTTATTTATGCCAACTTGCCTGTGAACAGCAATTCTCTATGGTAAGACCTGCCCCCCCACTACCATGGCTACTCTGGATGTGACTATTTGTTTTTACCAAGGTCTTACAACAATGCATGGAAGTATACGAGATTATTAAAGAAGACCCTATTGCTAATTTTGAGTTTAGAATGTTTCAGTACTGCTCCCATGACATAAATTGCTCTAACAGCATTCAGAAGCAGTATGGAAAAGTGAGTAATCTCAAAACAGCGGATAGAGGTCAAGAATACTGGTAATGTAGGTAGGACGACCACTGTTGTGTGACTTGATCTTCAGCCTCACAAGTTTCATGCTTGGGATCTCAACTGTACTTCATTTCATAAAATATTTTGAAGCAATTAACTTTCTTATTGTACTGTAACAATGGTAACAGACTATCATTAGCTTAATGTGCTTGTCCCTTCTCCCATTATCATTAAAATGATATTAAAGCTATAAACAAAATTTTATAATTAAATGCCTTACCAGCTAAGAATTGTATGTCTAGGATATCGAGGTAGGGACTTAAGTCAAAGCTATACAGTCGTGTGTATTATGGCGGGAGATGCTTATCCAGAGATTTTCCTACATACATTGAGTAATACTTGTAAATAAATGCTAAAATATTATCTAAAGCATGTGGTTATTTACACATTAATAATATACTCTACCTGGCTCCTCTGACTCGATCAAAACACTAGTTAAATATTTTCTCCAAGAAAAATCCATCTAATCACATTATTGCTACTATTGGATTGTATTTTTCCTGATACCACAGCACCCAAACGTTTGTTACTATGCCAAAAAATTTTATGCACTATCCAGGCAATTGTTTGTTTACATATTCAATAAGACTAATTTTCACTGTTAAACATAGCAAAATAATCCATATTGAAATGTCAGTCAAAGTCCTCATTAAATGATCTTTATCTAATTTTTAGGTGGGCTGAAACAAACTAACGGTCATAAACGAGTGACCGGGTGCTCTATCATGTATAAAATGAAGGCAACAATTCTATCAATATTATTATAATAATTATTATACCCTTCTGATGTGTCTACCCAAGGCTGAGTGTACCAGAGCCACTCTGCTATAGTTGCTCCCAAGTCATCTGAAAGTATCCATAACTTGTAGATAACATGAGTCTCTATGCTGAGTTTGTGTCAAACGTCCTGTGAGATGCAGATGCCGGGGCAAGCTACAGCAAAGTACTCGGCCTCATAATTACAATGATCTAAGGCACAGTTCGAGAAAGAGCTTGTTACCAAGAATATTCTCAGTATAAGGCTCAGAAACCAGTAGAAAAGTTGGGAAGGCATATTTCGGAGCAGGCATACCAACCTAATATTAATGGCCAATTCTTGACCAGTTTATATGGCATTGAGCTCTGGCATCATGAAGCTAGCTAACAGATACATGGTAGGGAGGCCCATTCCTTTATATATTATAAGTAACAATCCTTAACACTAACCAGACAGGAAAGCTTCTTCACAGGGTATACGATTTGTCTTCCGGCACACCATAAGCTTTCTACAGCAACTGCATTTTTGGGAAATTTACAGATTTACTATGCCTTTATTGTACCACATTGTACAATACATTCATCATACCTGTACATTGTCAAAGTTTAAAATAAAAATTGTTGTACTGAACTGACTCTGAGCATCACAGTGAGTGGAAATTCTTTCCTGTCTTTGGAGCCCTTGAATTTGCCCCAGCATGTATCTGTCATCGCATAAATTGCGCCGAGATGCATAAATAATGCACATCCTCCAACTATCTTCTTAGCATATGGAGGTCACATGAAATGGGAATGAACCATTTGTGTTGTGACAGGGGATTCTGCGTCACATTGCAATACTTTTGTGGCTGATTTTTGTCATGAATCATTGGTCATGACTAGTCAGGCAGCAATATCTGCTGAATGATACAATGTTGTGCAAGTAAAAAACAATAAAATAAAATTAAAAAGAGAACTATACCTAAATCAATACACACAACTATCAATACCTAAGAGATCTGCAGTACTTTAAAAGCAGAAATGTCCTCTAAAATGCAGATTTAAAGACTCTGCTATAGCTCTAACGGAAAACTGAATATCATAGAAGAAACGGTCATCTACCCGCTCAACAAATATCTACAGGTTTATGGCGAATATACAAGATCACTTGTATTTACATTAAAGATGCATTATACATTCCATATCACCTTAACCTAAGGTAAAACAATTTGTACAACAGACTTTATGACTCGACTAAGAATAGGAGGCATAAGAACCTGTGCATGAATTGCTAATTATTAAAAGTTAACTTTCATTTTCCCGTTGTTAATTTCATCATTCCCTACATGATAAATTACATCCTCAAGACTGCTAAGGTTTAAAAACAGATCAGATTCATAAAAAATGTGATACATATGCAATGCAATGTTTTTGTCATAACACGTGCTCTTAACAAAGTGCCAAGCATGGAAATTCCACTACTTCACTATGACCCTGCTTGCAGGGTCTCAGACGGCACATGACAATCACCAGCAGTCAGTATATGAAGGCGAAGTCTAGCTCCGCAGTTGTAGATGCCAAGCACAAGCAGCAGATGTGGTGTTGCTAAGTGGTGTGTTGAGAGCTCATAGAACCTGCTCTATGGCAACAAGGACCTGAGGGACGTATGGCCAGCACTCTCATGCAAGAGTCCTCGCAACTACAACGCAACACAGAGCACCACCTGACATTAGCTGACATACTTAAAACTTAGCATCTAGTGGCACACTGACTGCATTCCTTGAATTTAATACAACTAATTGACAGTATAAAATATTTAGTACTTTCTAATGAAAATGTCCTTATAACTAAACAGTATGTATTATTCCCTTGCTTCTCAGCCTCTATTAATATTAATTTTACACAACAGCATAAAGAGTTCATTTCAATGCACCATAATAGTTTGTATGTCAGCTGCTACATGATTCACTGCATGAAATATGGGGGTGACATTATAACACTGAGGGGTGAGGACAACCTTGGAGCAAGCCATCAAGATACGATACCTAACTTTAAAAACTGCAAGCAAATTATTTCTCCGTATCTTTGCATGGCTTTTCCAAATTCAACTATAATATATTATGTCTTGAAAGAATTGTCAATAAATTAATCTATAACTAATTCCATTCAATACAGGAAATTACAGTGCTTAAACTTAATATATACTAGGTAGCAGATTTGCCATCAAAAACTTTTTTCACTGTATTACCTCTTATATGAAAGTGACAATCCAATGTTGTTTCTGTCTTTATAATCAGCAGTTGACAAACACAAAATCCTTCCACATATGGTATAGTTCTCATCTTAAAATGCAACTACAGTAATCATTTCTTATCATTGTGAAACTTGTCTGCTAACTTACCTTCATCCATCACTGTCAAAAGTATATGAACACTTACAGAACACCATGACCGAGATAACTGTCATCAATAATATATCCTACTTGTGCAATGAATTATTGATTAAAAAACTAAATAACATAAAAGTTGACAGTTTCAAGTCAAATGCTTGTGTTCACTTATGATTGTGTCATAGTAGCACCTTCTTGAAAGTTAGTCTCCACAGATAATTCTTGTGAAAATGGTCCTCTGCATAACATTCATTCAAATATTTTCTAGCAGCATTATCAATGTTTCCTTAATCCCCTGATTTTTATCTTTGCCTGCATTCTTACATGCCTCCATTCTTGACTATTCATTGTTCCTCTTCTGGGTTTCCCCATTCTTCATGAGCCCAGTCAGGTAACTTGGTCTCAAACTGCCATCCAGGACCCTAAAAATATATTTACATATGTTTTTATAGAAACATTTACAACCTAGTACAAGAAACCATTATTTAAGATGATTATTTAATATACAATTCATCATTTCTCACTAAACACCAGCTTGGTAAGTGAAAAAATCTTTAACCATACCTAACTCCAATGCTTTGGTATATATCTTCAAGCCAACCCTATATCTCGAGTGTCTTTTCTGCCAAAATCCACAACTTGGTATGTTTGCTTCTCCTTTTACTTTTGTTCATTCTATCCATTTACTCATGAAATTTTCTAGTTATTGTGTTGTCTCATCATAAGAACAGAGCCCAAAGTATTTAAGAACATGAGCATGTTCCATACCATTCCATCCTTATCACATGCAGGCGATGAGTCACAAAAATGTGGCTGAAGTATGTTGACCAGACCACACACTAGAAGGTGAAGGGACGACGACGTTTCGGTCCGTCCTGGACCATCCTCAAGTCGATTGTCGACTTGAGAATGGTCCAGGACGGACAGGAACGTCGTCGTCCCTTCACCTTCTAGTGTGTGGTCTGGTCAACATCCTTATCACATCTCTCACCCCTACCCAAGTTGCCTGCATGACCTCCACTGGCTTTCTCATTATCAAATACAGTACAATACTGTACGTGTATATAAAATGGCTGCAGAACCATCACACGTTCTTCCCCTATTCCAGCTCAAACTCCGAACTACTCAGTTATTTGTTCCTAGGCATGAATGAATCTTCCTACATAATTATTCACTGCTTCACACAGCCACCCTCCGACACTGCTTCACACAGCCACCCTCCGACACTGCTTCACACAGCTTTTGTCAAATCCAATAATGCAGTGCATGCCAGTGGATTTTTTATGTTATAAAATTACAAGCTATTATTCTTTAATAAGCATTATTTAAATAAATTAGTGTAAGGTCATTTCTTTTGTAAACTGTACCATTTGGTTGCTCCCATAGGCAAGAGCCTGCTGTTCCCATGGACAGGTCACATTCCCCACCATGGAAGTTTTCATATGCCTTGATGGTGCCTTGGAACTGGTCTCTACTACTTTGAGGCTCCATTCTGCACCAATCTATCCCCCCCTTTACAGGGGCACAAGTGGATCAAGAGATTAATCCGCTACCAAGGGCGCTTGACAGCTGGGTGGACAGCGCTTCGGATTCGTAGTCCTGAGGTTCCTGGTTCGATCCCTGGTGGAGGCAGAGACAAATGGGCAAAATGTTTCTTTCACCCTGATGCCTCTGTTACCTAGCAGTAAATAGGTACCTGGGAGTTAGACAGCTGCTACGGGCTGCTTCCAGGGGGGGGTGTAACAAAAAGGAGGCCTGGTCGAGGACCAGGCAGCGGGGATGCTAAGCCCTGAAATCGTCTCAAGGTAACCTCCCACATGATAAAAGAAAGTCGCAAAACACTGAACCATCTCAGAAATTTGTAGAAATCGTCAAACTACCAAATAAAACTTTGCAGCCTTGAATATATATGCATGTGTGTGGGAAACCTAAGGTACAGAGAGTTTTGAAGTGATTAACAATTTGCATTATACTTTGTAGAGCTATACAGTATTGTAGTTAAAAAGGTTGTAAAGCCTCTATAGGATATTTAACAATGAGCTATGTCGTCAACTCTCACTCGAGGGACCCGGGTTCAATCCCTGGGCAGGACAGAAATAGTTAGGCATGTTTCCTTTCACCTCATGCTTTTGTTCACCTAGCAGTTAAATAGGCACCTGGGAAATAGGTAACTGTTGTGGACTGCATCCTGGGGAACGTCAGTTGTTGGCCTTAGTGGTCCTCGATATAAACCTAAATACATGCTTCCTGTCCCTACAATGGAAATTAAACAATAACTATCCACGAGTGCAGGAAAAAAACTAAAAGTTCCTGAAATGCTTAAATAATGGCTGATCAATGAAGATTTTAATTTAGAAGACTGTAAACTTTAAATCATTGAAAAAGAGAACTTACAGCATATTTAAGAGCATGGAGGTACATCACCAGATCTCGTGGCTTAGGGTCGCGGTATCTCACTTTACACTCATAACAATGCTCATCAATTGTCATTAGGCATGCCTGGTAGCCATACTCCTTAGTGCCTTCACTTGTCTGGGTCCCTGAAGACACAACTACCCCGGCTTCACCCCCTACCAGTCCACTGTTGCATCCTGAAACCATGACATTATTACATAATATGGTAATATGAGCAAAGATAATTAAGAGATTTCAAGTTTTAAACAGTAAAAGCAAAGTTTTTTTCTGAAGGATCTTGATGTGAACGAGTATCTATCTATATCTGTAATGCCTTGTTCCCTCCGGGAACGCCCGTCTGAGGGGGTGGCCATGACAGAAAAGGGGCTTGAACTATTCTGGAATACCTGTACCTTCACAAATCTAATAATGCATACTGCCATCCCCCAACAAAGTTGAACTGCCCCAGTCATGTGTGCCAATTTTTGCATCAATTCTGAAAATGTTAGAAATAAGATTTTACATCTGGTTACTATAGAAATTATATAATTGCTAGCAAGGTAATCCAAAGAGCCATTTTAGTAGAACTTAATACAAAGGAAAAGTAAGAAGGAAGTTTCACCTAAACCGGTCAAGTTCATTAGCTTAAAAGTGGCAGTTGTATAGTGATGGATGTAAAGCCCATTGCACAAGCTCCCCTTGCCTTGGGCTGATGAACTAACAGCTAAATGATCAGATGTACACTATATTACTATCTCATCTCATTAGTGACATGGCACAGACAATCATACAAATGGAAATTTCAAGATATCAGTAGAATAGCAGTTTATATATGTATATATATGTACTATAGTTAGACTACTATAATCAAAATTTTCTCAAATAATAGTAAACATGTAATTTATTATTGTACCTCTACGATTAAGCCTAAAGCTTCAAGGGAAAAAATATTGTATTACATATGAAGTGTTTTTGTCTTAGGAAATTAATATAAATATTTTGAAATACATGTTTGATTACATACAAGGTATTTTATTTCTGCACCTCACCATTTAATGTCTTTGGAGAAGCAGCTTCAGTCCCAACCATCGATGACTGTATTTCCACTACCGAGGGCCCTATGGCCTTTGGTGATTGGTAGCCGGTAGGAGCGATAAGTGCTGGTGGGGAGGTCACCCGGGGGGAGTTGTTGGCGGTTGGAGACTTCTCTTTAGGACTTGGAGTGTTGCGCTGTGATCCTCCTGTGAATAATGATACTTTACTATTTTCAAAGAAATGCAGCATAATAGTGAAAAGATAGCACCAGGGTACTAGGAAAACTTGTATCTACAGTATTATTTCATGGTGAATATGATGGTAGTTCCTTCGAGCCAGGCAGGTTAGAGCCCCCCCCCCCCTTCACTGACAGCACAGATGCATGACCTCGGTGTTTTCTCGTGTGTGCATAAAACCTGCACATGTACCTTAAGGGAAATGAGGGTGCCTCTGCCTCCCTGTTTACTAGTGTACTGTACAAGAATGTAACTACGAGTACTAGTGGCAGTACAAGAATGTAATAACTCTTGTATATCTCAAATAATGTGTGTTAGAGCAAGGCCACTCACATACGTGAGTGGTATGGTATATCAACAAGGGGACACAGGTGGAAACCGAGTACCCAAATGAGCCACAGGGACATTAGAAAGAATTTTTCCAGTGTCAGGGTAGTTAACAGATGGAATGCATTAGGCAGTGATGTGGTGGAGGCTGACGCCATACACAGTTTCAAATGTAAATATGGCTGAGCCTATAGACTGAAATCTGTACATCAGTTGATTGACAGCCAAGAGGTGGGACCAAAGAACTGAAGCTCAACCCCTGCAAGCACAACTAGATGAGTACATAATTCCCAGAATAAAGTGGGCAGTTATTCTCATGTAAGAGAAGCTAGGTATAAATTCCTATATGTGATGTATTCTGAATGAGCTACCAAGGTTGAATATTAATAAGAATAAAATACCCACCAAGGTCTTTTATGGTGCTTAATCACCACTTTGTAAGGGTTATGTTAGCAAAAGTATGCACTCGTACATATTCACTTGGTAAATCATTTTTGTGTGTACACTTTAAATTGTAAGAAAATAAAAGAATTAATGATACTTCACCTTCCTCTTCAGTGTCTGCCTTGTCACGGCCCTTAAACATGGAGTACTCTGCATCACCATCCATTCCAAGCCAATTTTCAGCATTGTGAATCTTGATCAGGTCTTGAATAAGCTGTTCATCTGTCTTACCAATGATGCCACCCTTTGCTTTGTTGGGCCCAAATACCGTATGATTGTATAGAGGGTCATTGACAATTGGATAGCCTGTAAAGTCAGGAGAAATGGTGAAAATGACCAATAGGCATAAAATGCTTATTTTCCCAAAGCCTTTTAACAGTCATCATATATTTTTCAGTTTTCAGTTTAAAATACAGCACATGAAAAAATATAATATGCTTAGTGAATATTTTTTTTTCATAGATGCTTTACAATACTATACAGTACTATAACTTACAGTACTATAACTTAACTACAACTTATATAACACTATAACTTACCCAGGTACTGAAGATGGACACGAATCTGGTGCATACGGCCTGTGTGGGGGCGACACAGCACTACTGACGTTTTACCATTGTAGGAAAGCCGTTGGAACTCTGTACGACAATCCTTTCCAGTGGGTGAGACTTTGCACACACCAATCTTGTAGCTCACCACCTCTATGGGTTCGTTGCATTCAACATGTTCCCTATTGAGGGAATGAGGTTAGTGATCTGGCATCACAATTATGTATTTTATTATGTGAGAAAGATAAACAATGAGAACTCATTTGAGTCCTCCAAACATAGGGAAAAATCTTTGAAGAAATCTTGATTTGAGGCATGTGTGAGCAGGGCGTAGTTATGCATATCTTAAATAAAAGGGTGGAGGAGGTGAACACAATGTAGTTATACATGTCTTGTATAAACCCAGTTTTTTTATGTAAGTAATAAAGGGAAAAAGAAATAAGAATGCTGGTGGTTATTTTAAGCAAACATGTGCTATTGATTCTACATCTGCCATGTACAATTACCAATTTGAAACTAAATTAAAATTTGGTAAACAACACATTATTTCAAGAATTTCTTTTGTTAACAGATCATCTCTTGACTAGAATGGGTTGCTTTAGTTTTGTCACTTTTCATTCTGGTTTTCTTAAACCATGCTACCAAAGCTGCATTTCAGTAGTTCTGATGAATTCTTAATTCAATTTTCAACCATTTAGAAAAAAATATTATTGCTGAACATAACTAAATCTCTATTACTCAGGGTAAAAAATCTGATGGGTTGGCAGGCAAGGATGTCTTGATGACAATAAACTCACATCTAGAAACATATGGGTTAAGTACTGTAACAAGGAGTGCAGTGGGTTCCAGGAAGTAGGGCGAGTTGCAGGCATCTTTGAGGATCTACAGGAAAACGCTTGAGCACTCAACATCTTACATGCAATTTACAGTATTTCAATTGAACTGCTGTAGTATCAGCAAAACACTGTTTTTTCCATGTTATTGGGCAGTCCCAAATGTATCACTTATGCTGCGCCCCTTGGGAATCTCCGCCAGCAGACTTTAAGATTATGGTTCTTGAAGGAAAAATGAACCAGACTAATCCTCATCTGCTATGTAATATTGCACAGATGCATATAGAAGCAAACTTGGCATCTGACAGCTTCACATACTTCACAGATGGATCAGTAGACCAGCAGGGACAAGAAACCGGAGCTGCAGTTAAAGCAGGAAACTCTGTAAATAGTTGGAGACTCTCAAATGGGTGTTCAACTTTACAAACAGAGATGCTAGCCATTCAAAAGGCTTTGGAACATGCTCTTGCTGAACACCGACAACATGTTATCATACATACAGATTCAAGAACTGCCATTGAAACCTTGCAACAAGAACTCATACATGATAACATCCATCTGATCACAAATGTCATATCATTAATGCAAACAGTAAAACTTCAAGGCCGTCGGGTACTTATCAACTGGGTGCCAAGTCATGTGGGAATAGTAGGAAATGACATTGCAGACGAAGCTGCAAAACTTGCAACTAAGAGAAGAAATGTAGACATTTACATACCACAGAGTCTATCACAGATTAAGAAAGTAATTAGAAACAGAGCAATGCAAAAGATGTACACTGACCACAACACAAGAGTTACAACATCTGGATCTGCGAGTTGGTACAAGAATTCAACCAACTACGAACCACTTGGTTTGATGAAAGGGAGCAGTAGAACAACAGAAGTACACTTACATCGCATCAGGCTTGGATACCCATGTGTATGGGAAATAGGCTTACAGGTTCCAGAAGATGAGAGGAAATGTCAGCACTGTGGAAAAATGCCCGACAGATCACTGGAACATTATCTAACACAGTGCACAGTTACAAACCCATTAAGATTTCAACTTGGATTCAACAGAGCAGAAGTGATTAAACACGTGGGACAAAATCTTACTGAAGCGACCATACGAGTCATAAATACTCATACTCCGCCAAGTAAAAGAGAAACAAGCAACACTTAGTGGGCTAGCCAAAGGCTTAGGGCCTGTGCAGGAATATCCCTGCAAAAAAAAAAAAAACTTATGCTGCAGAAAATATAGTGAGCAATACTTGAGCAATGACAACACAGCCATTAATACAATGCTCAATGAGTTGAACATTACGAAAAACTGAAGATGTCTTATATGTTATGTCAAGCTTACTAGAAACAGCACTAGCTTGCAAGCTTACTAGAAACAACACTAGCTGACATTTACTAGAAAGAACACGAACTGCTAAGCTTAGTACAAACAACAGTAGCCACTAAGCATACCAGAAACAACACTAGCTAACAACACTAATGAAACAACATTACTGGGAACAACATGAGCCACCGAGATTAATAGAAAGAGCTGCCAAGCCTACTACAACACCAGCAGTCATTCATTCTGAAAATATAAATGGTTTTAATTCTTACTACATTCTTCTTACTAGAAATAGAAATATGGTAACTACATTCTTCTTACTAGAAATAGTAGTAACTACATTTTTACTGGAAATATTAGTAGTTGATGGTTGTACTAGAAATAGTAGTAACTACATTTTTACTGGAAATATTAGTAGTTGATGGTCGTACTAGAAATAGTAGTAACTACATTTTTACTGGAAATATTAGTAGTTGATGGTCGTACTAGAAATAGTAGTAACTACATTCTTACTGGAAATATTAGTAGTTGATGTTCTTACTAGAAATAGTAGTAACTACATTCTTACTGGAAATATTAGTAATTGATGTTCTTACTAGAAACATAGGTATTTGTCATTCTTTCTAGAAACAGAGCTAGCTGCCATTCTAAAATGATCCCCAAATATAAAAACATTTGGCATGTTAGAAAAAAAAACTTCTACAGAAGCTCTGAATAATCTCTTTATGAGTGCATAATTTTAAGAGGTAGCAGAAGATTAGCCATACACGAGGACCATGCTGTAAACATTCCTGGCATCTCGTCTGCATTAACCTTCATTTTCTAAAAATTCACATCAGTCTAAGTGTTGACACTGATTGATACTTGGCTTCCAGATCTGATATAGTGACATTGAAGTAGAATCATTGTATCATATGTAGTAATCTAATACCAGCACAGTATACCCTTATGTATACATCATACAGCATCATTTGATACCAGATTTAAACATGCATTATAATAATCCTGGGCTAAAATTAGCAAAACTTATAATGAATGAAGTACCAAAATTATTTTAGACAGTTGATAGTTTAACAGAGCCTCAATTGCCTGTGTTTATTTCCACTTACCTGAGTCATACAATTAGATCATACCATCTAGATCAATAATGGCTTAATATCTAATATTAGGGTGTTATTAGGACTGAGAACAGGAGATGCTTTTTCACCCACAGGGGGTTATGAACCCATGGTCCCGCCTACCCACCGAAGCCATAAATGCCCAAACTCAAACTTTTAAAGTACAACTAGAAAAAATCAAGACAAAGGGGGGGACCTTCGCTGGCTTCCTGTCCTCGTCAAGGCCACTAGTGTTAGTGGCTCTCAGGTAAATTCAGGTAAATGTTTTTAGGGCATTTTATATTCATTTTATTAATATTTCCTTTGCGTTAACAAAACAGCAGTGCTAAAAACTTTTTAAAACCTTTGGTGGTGGTCTCACGTAACCATTTTAGCCAATCAGGAGGAAGCAGTCACTTGCACAAATTTCACTGAATAGATTATGTAAAATAAAGAACCAGAGTTGGTTCACAATAAGGAAAAGTTTCATTCTAGTTTGGTTTTGATACAACTTGATACAACTCTTTGGAGGAGAGTTGTACCAAGTGTCACTGCACCACAGAGGAAGTCTTTCAGCTGTGTGAAAGTGGGTGGATCAGTTGTACCATCAAAGAAGACACAGCACCTTGAAGAAAACTTGTGCAACCTCTCTTGATGTTTAACTTTTTCCATGAGATAAGGAGTAAGAAAGAAGACTTGACAGTGATGTTAAGTCATTCGACATAGGAGTCTGAATAAATTGTGGTGCGACTGTAACAAAGCAATTCACCACTGGATGTGTAGGAGCATTGGTGACTGGCAAGCAAGATGTTAATTGAACAGAAATCTATCCTAAAGGGCCCGACTGTGAACCAAGAAGCCAGAAATGCTTTGGGACCTAATATCAGTGATACCAAGAGAAGCTCTGATTGGAATATACTGAGACAGCCACAGTCATGACCATTGGTGGTGCAATTAAAAATAAAGTGGCGAAAGTTACAACTGACATTTTTCTGGTGTGGCTTTTGGTAACTTCCTGAGCTAAATGCTGATGTCAGGGTCCTGAGGCAAAGGGAGCTTACGGATCAAAGATCAGCCAAAAACAAAGAAAATGCAACCAGAAAGAGCAACAAAACTTTTAACTGTTTTTAGAATATTAGCCAGCCACTGAAACTCGACAAAAAGCAGAAGAGGATGGCCATGGGAACAGTCAAGATGGCTCGCATGAAAACCGGAAAGAAGCTAACTTCCAAAGTGCACCACAAAGGACGCATCTGTAACCAGAACTTGGAGGACACCCCTATCAAGAGTTTTACCTGGAACAAGGCCTCAGGAAAGTATGTAAGCTTTATCTTTCTCATTTACAATAATAAAAGGTGTAGTTGGACACATCTCTAACTTTAGTACTCTACTATTTAATATTCTACACCTAACATACCTACAAAATTACCATCAGTAATTTAAATTTGTGATAAAGTACTTTCAACAAGTTATTTTCATAAATATTGTACAGTATTACATACTGTGATCTTACCGGTAATTAAAAATAGTCCTTTTAGTTATAATTATATTAAACTTTTTTGTTAATGCCCCTCAAGACATGAAAGCAGGGAAATGAAAAGCTTGTGTTCCCATAACTCCAATACAGCATGTGTTAACATAATGTTTACGCTATCACACATGCTAGCCCTCAAAGGAAAGAATCTGTTGTCAGGGTCCTGACTGATGTACAATGAGGCAGGATGACATTCAGGCAACATACTGCATGGATCTTTTGTGTGTTATATCCCATTTATGAGTTTGAGCTTCATTATTCATATTTTGTCATTATGGGTTAGGTCCTGGAGTGTACCTGGATGGGGTTCCAGTAGTTCTACTTCCCTAGCCCAGCCCGGGGCCAGGCTTGACTTGTGAGAGTTTGGTCCTACAGGCTGTTGCTTGGAGCAG